AAAAAAAATCCCAAAAATAAAAAACAAAAAAATAGAGAGTAAGAGGCTTTTTTAAAAAAAATTATTAAACAGGTGCGTAAATTCACTCAGGCCACAAGAACTCACTGAGTCATCAACATTTCAACCCAGGTCAGTCCCAGAGTCACAGCAGGATCAAATGTGCCCCAGAGAAAGCTGTGTATCTATCTTCCCTAACAGCTTCGGGTGACACTGGGAACCCACTCTGTGCACGCACGGAGAGGTAATACCTAGGATGAAGTGATTTCAAGTCACTAGGATTTTAATGGGGAGGATTTCATATGTAGGAAAGACTATATAGTTCTCATATCAGAAATAGGAAAGAGTGGGTCCTTCTACACCTTTTTCTTTTGTTTGTAACTCTGGGACCCCAAACTACCCTTACATTGCTAATATCCTATCCCTAATCACTGATCTTAACTGTAAAGTCAAGATTAGTGTGGAGAATCAGGAGACCTGACTCTTGAAGCATCCAGGATGTAGGAATTCTGTGCTGTTCTTTGATGAACAGATCATAATACGTTTGATTTCACCTTTGAAGGTTTTCTTCTTTTTCATCTTTATAGCAAGACTCTATAGATGCAGTTGTGCTAAGATCATCTTTTTACTCTTCAAATGAAAACAGCAAACACATCATATTTATTATTATTTTTTTAAAGATCTATTTCAAGTATGTGTATCTTCAATGAGCTATTTCAGGCTATGTGTTGAAGCCTGTGTTAGAATTTTTTCCCTTTTCAAGACTGAATAATATTTCTTGGTGTATACACACTACATTTTATTTATCCATTCATCTGTTGATGGACATTTGGGTTATTTCTACCTTTGGGGTGTTAAATGCTATGAAATTGATGTATGAATATCTATTCCTACAATTCTTTTGAAATAAAATTTAAAACTGCTGTTAGGAGTCAAAGGGAGTGAGTTTAGAATTGAGAAAAAATTAAAATTAAAGTACATCTAACACATCAGATATATTAAATGTTATTATATTAAATGGTGAGAAGCAGAAACAAGAGGATCTTGAATTCACGTGAAACCTCTGGGAGTCAACGCCCCTGTCTCCTTCGAGCCTCCCAGTGGCCTATCAATGACACGCCCGTGTATCATGCTGAGAAATGAGCTGGACCCCAAAGGACAAATAAGGAATGATCCTACTTAAACACGTGCCTGGAACAGGCCAATTCACAGACAGAGAGTAGGACAGACTGCCAGGGCCTGCGGGGGACAGGCAGGGAGCCAGGCAGTTGCTGTGTAAAGGGTGTGGAGTTTCCATTTGGGAAGAGGAAAACGTTCTGGAAATGGGAAGTGGTGATGGCTGCATGACACGTAGCCCCACCGAACCTCACACTCAAAATGGGCAGAGGTAAACGCGAGGCTGTGTCTATTTTACCACAAACAAACAAAAAGGATCAGGGGGCCTGTGGTGTTCAAAAGAAAAGAACTCAGGAGACAAAAGCAAAAGGAATAAAAGAGAGTGATGCCAAAAAGACCAGAGGAAATCACGGGGGGTGGACAGACCTTCCCCGCCCTGCAGGGGTGTGAGCACAGACACAGAGCACCGCTGAGCTCCGGAGGTGGGAGTGCGCTGCCTGTGCCAAAGACCCCTGACCATGACGACCCTCAGCAGGACACAGGGTCTCATGGGGCCGGCCATGGGGCAGGGGCCGCTGGGGTACAAGCAATGCAGGGACCCTCCTGAGTCCAGCTGGTGGGTTGAAATTTACGGTTGCTGCTGACACCCTGACTGCTGGGACTTCCTCGATGGCTGAGTGTGCCCGTCACGGCTTTCACAATTTTATGCTGGATGAAACATTGTCAGTGAGGAGAGCCAAGGCTTTGAGGGTTTCTGTTCAGCTGTGATTTGCACAGTTCAAGAGCTTGTGTAATTAGGCAAAAGTGGCATCATCCGGTCCTGGTCACAGGCTCAAAGCTCCCTGGACTGACGTGTTCTGTGCTCGGCAGGGCAGGTCCTCATGCTCGTGTCTCAGCTCCCAGCCTCATGTAGCGTGTGTGAAAAAGTCTCCACAAAACACGTTCCTAAGTTCAAGTGACTCTGAAAACACCAGCTCTTCTTTTTGTTCTTTATTTGAGACAGTCTCACTCTGTCACCCTTGGTAGAGTGCTCTGGTGTGGTCACAGCTCACAGCAACCTCTGACTCCTGGGCTCAAGTGATCCTCCTGCCTCAGCCTCCTGAGTCTCTAGGACTACAGGGTCTCATCACAATTCCTAGTTTTTTCTATTTTTAGGAGAGAGGGGCTCTTGCTCTTGCTCTGTCTGGCCTCCAACTCCTGAGCCCAAGGGATCCTCCTGCCTCGGCCTCCCAGAGTGCTGGGATTACAGGTGTGAGCCACCGTGCCTGGCCAGTACCAGTTCTTCTGTGGTTCTATTTGAAAAAATATTTGTTTGCCAGAAAACAAATAATAAAGCACAAGATGTAAATTTATCCTTAAGTATGAAGACAGGGAAGGAAATTCCTTGGTGGCCACGTTTAGAAACTGTTCACTTAACGGTGGGTCCACAAACATTTCTGAGCTCCGCAGCCCAACACTCTGTGTTCAAGGGGAAGGTGCTGATCCCAGGGCGTTTTTGAGGTTCACTTTACTACTGTCAAGGTGTTAATGAATTGTGTGCCTGATTCTGTGAAGGAGAAGGAAAGAAAAACTGAGGGATGGCTGAGAGCATTTGGGGGATCTTGGCCTAGCTTGAGAGGAATTCCAGCTGCTCTCCTGGGTAAGAACTGAAATGCTTGGAAACCTCTGTGATTAACTGTTAATAGACTGACTTCTGTGAATTGACCCATTCTTTTCTCTCCTGTTTAATATAGTAATAGCGCCATAGAGATATAATTGGTGAGGAGCTGGACTCTCAGCCTGTCCTTCTCTGCCTACGCAGTTCACAGCCTAACAGATATTCTTAAGGATAAAATAAATCATAGCAACATTAGTATAAGGCAATAAACAGCTTTTTAGAGTTAAGAGAGAAAACCACCATGCAGTCAAAAAAATTGAAAGAATTTTTAACAGCAAAGACATACTTTAAAGTACACGGAAATTGCTCAGGAGCTTTCTTCATGAGATAATCAGAAATGAGCGAAAAGATTTATGCCCTAAGAGGTTCACCATGGTATTCTATGTAGTTGCTATAAGCTGTATTTTGAAAAGTGTATACTGGTATGGGAAAATGTTAATAATATTACTAAGTTTAGAAAGTAGTTTACATTACAGCAGCCTTCTGGAGACACAGTCAGTGTCTTACCACCTGACTTACCCATTCAGACTGCACAATTCTATTACTTTTAGTATAGAGTTGTGCAGCGTCACCTCAATCAATTTTAGATCGTTTTCATCAACTTATAAAGAAGCCTCATGCACACTGGCAGTAAACTGTCACGCTGAGCTTTATGAGGAGTCCCCGGGAGGGGCAAGTGCATAGCTTGGAGCATCACCGCAACGGAAGGAAATGAAGCGTAGACACAAACGACCACAGGGATGACCCCGGAAACACACTGCGTGAAAACCAGTCACAAAGGAATCATGCACTTTTCATTCAGACGAGATCGCCCAGGGCTGGGCAGGTGCCAGGGCTCACATATGCGGTCCTGGCACTTTGGGGAGTCAGGGAGAAGGAAGGCTTGAGGCCAGGAGTTCAGGACCGGCCTGGGCAGCAAGTGAAACCCCATCTCTACAAGGACAGGCCAATTATAGAGACGGTGGTTGCCTAGGGTGTGGGTGGCATTGGCCATGGGT